CACTTATCACAGAAGTAAGGAATGGCAATCATGGTTTACCGGATCTACGTCCATATTGTCATGTGACCATGTGATTCTGGTTGTCCAAACATTATAGACTGGTCTTTCCGTAAACAAATAAAAACAAATAAATTAGTCAGATATGGATTCAAACGCATAATACAAAAATTCTAAATTTTAGAAAGAAATATGGATGGAGGTAATCAACCACAAGATGACACCACTGACCTTATAGATGACGAAACTAAACAGAAACTAATTGATGATCTCTTAGCAGTGTTAAATTCTGGGTCTGATGAGGAATGTTCAATTTGTTTAGACAGTCTAAAACACCCTGTTATAACACCCTGTGCTCATGTTTATTGTCGTACCTGTATTGAAAACGTCATACAACAAAATAACACGGTCAGTATATTTATTACACCTTTACTCCTTGAAAATATTACAGCTTTATAACTGGAAATATTACAGCTTTATACCTGGAAATATTACAGCTTTATACCTGGAAATATTACGGCTCTATATCTGGAAATATTACGGCTCTATAACTGGAAATATTACAGCTTTATAACTAGAAATATTACAGCTCTATATCTGGAAATATTACAGCTTTATAACTAGAAATATTACAGCTTTATAACTAGAAATATTACAGCTTTATAACTAGAAATATTACGGCTTTATATCTGGAAATATTACAGCTTTATATCTGGAAATATTACAGCTCTATAACTGGAAATACTACAGCTTTATAACTAGAAATATTACAGCTCTATAACTGGAAATATTACAGCTCTATAACTGGAAATATTACAGCTTTATAACTAGAAATATTACAGCTCTATAACTAGAAATATTACAGCTTTATAACTAGAAATATTACGGCTTTATAACTAGAAATATTACAGCTTTATAACTGGAAATATTACAGCTTTATAACTGGAAATATTACGGCTTTATAACTGGAAATATTACAACTTTGTGGTTTGTATGTTTGTTATATTATGAATGTTGCATTATGGTTATGTTCAAGGTCAGAAAGATTTTTATATTTCCAGATGACAACAGCATGTCCGATGTGTCGAGAAGAAATAAAGTTAGGTTTTTGGTTTGGAGTTCCTGAAAAACAACAACCGGAGATACCTGTGATTACTGATGAAAACTGGCAGTCCAGTAGCAAGGTAGGAGATATTTACAAGGTTTCTAAGTTATTGCCCTTGATTTAGTTTTGGCTTGGACGAGTAATTTGTCTTCATTTTGAGAGTCCTTGATAGGAAATCTTTTTCTATCTCTACTGGATCAGTTCTGGACCTGATCAGTCAGGTGCTCTGCTGGGGTAAGTTTACATTTATTGATTCACAAATTGTAGGTAGATGCATTAATGAAAGCTCTAGTTCAACAACGTATTGATGACCCTACTGTTAAAAGTATCATAGTTTCACAGTTTACATCTCTACTGACTCTTATTGAGGTACCATTGAGGTAAGTACAGTCTCCTATATTTCTTGACTATTATCATTAATATAGTTATTAAAGGAATCAATGTTGATCTTGCCGTTATATTTACAGTTATCTACAGTTTATTTATTTTTAGATTAAACTTAAAAACAACCTATTAAAAATTATCTTGCAGATTAAATGGTTTTAAGTTTGCTCGACTAGATGGTAAAATGACTAACAAGAAAAGAGTTGATAATATGGAGATGTTTATGGACCCATCACTCGACTCTCCTACCATATTTCTACTGTCACTGAAGGCTGGAGGAGTTGGACTAGATCTTAAGGCAGCCAGTCGCGTCTTTCTAATGGATCCTGTAAGTATATCATTTCAGTGATATAATGTTGAGTGAAGTTTCATACATGCAAATATACATTAGATATCTAGACAGGAAAAAAAAGATGACTATATAGATAGCTGAAATTGAGCTCTATCAGCTGGTATAGTAAATATTTAGATGACTATATAAATAGCTGAAATTGAGCTTTATCAGCTGGTGAAGTAAATATTTAGATGACTATACAGATAGCTGAAATTGAGCTCTATCAGCTGGTATAGTAAATATTTAGATGACTATATAAATAGCTGAAATTGAGCTTTATCAGCTGGTGAAGTAAATATTTAGATGACTATACAGATAGGTGAAATTGAGCTCTATCAGCTGGTATAGTAAATATTTATATGACTATACAGATAGCTGATATTGAGCTCTATCAGCTGGTGAAGTAAATATTTAGATGACTATACAGATAGCTGAAATTGAGCTCTATCAGCTGGTATAGTAAATATTTATATGACTATACAGATAGCTGATATTGAGCTCTATCAGCTGGTGAAGTAAATATTTAGATGACTATACAGATAGCTGAAATAGAGCTCTATCAGCTGGTATAGTAAATATTTAGATGACTACACAGATAGCTGATATTGAGCTCTATCAACTGGTAAAGTAAATATTTAGATGACTATACAGATAGCTGAAATTGAGCTTTATCAGCTGGTGAAGTAAATATTTAGATGACTATACAGACAGCTGAAATTGAGCTCTATCAGCTGGTGAAGTAAATATTTAGATGACTTTACAGACAGCTGAAATTGAGCTCTATCAGCTGGTAAAGTAAATATTTAGATGACTATATAAATAGCTGAAATTGAGCTCTATCAGCTGGTATAGTAAATATTTATATGACTATACAGATAGCTGTAATTGAGCTTTATCAACTGGTGAAGTAAATATTTAGATGACTACACAGATAGCTGATATTGAGCTCTATCAACTGGTAAAGTAAATATTAAGATGACTATAAAGATAGCTGAAATTGAGTTCTATCAGCTGGTAAAGTAAATATTTAGATGACAATACAGATAGATTAAATTGAGCTATATCAGCTGGTAATATTTAGATGACTACACAGATAGCTGATATTGAGCTCTATCAACTGGTAAAGTAAATATTTAGATGACAATACAGATAG